AATTTGGCTACACCGGGTCCAAAAAGGGAAGATAAGTACATATTGTCTATTCAAACTCAAAGTTCGGATTTCCTTTCCGAACAGGCCTGTCATTTGTGGCGTCCAGTGTCTAGTGACCTAACCCTGTCTGATGCAAGCCTACCTAGGCATAGTACTCTCAAATGTTGACACTCCCGAACATCCAAGTGTCGATCTTTTGCCTGCAGCAACCTTTACACTGCTGCCGTGATTCGTCAAGCGACAACTCCAACGCCTATTCATCATTGAAGGTGTCTTTAATCACACTGCTGCGATCCTAACTATCAAATATTGGTGGAGGAATCCACTTCCCGATAAACTAGTTCAGCAGTATTGCCTATCATGAACCCCAGCTCTCCCCCCAAGCTTTTCAGCATGAGAAGTGACAGCCATTAATTCCTAAAGGAGTCGAGCCGTCCATGCTCCTTGCCAGCTCTGGACCGAACCCGACGAAAGCGATCAAAACGACCAGAGAAGAGTAACCATTTTTTCTCCGATGAAGTGGTCATTTGTGCTTGTGTTATGTAGCTAGGAGAATATGTCGAAAAATTTGAGCTGCTGTACAATATTGCGCAAGAATTGTTTCTTGGTACTATGTCTTTTCTGAGGGGACTTTTTAGAATACAATGACTAAAAGTAAGCAGACCCGGCGCAACGGAGGAGGATAGTAATCGATGTCCTGGTTGATGATTCCGATGAAGAAGTTCATCACCACAATTAAGCTAAATTCGGATTTAGATAATGAGATCGTCGTCGGATAATACTCGATAATCCCGAGATGCAAGACTAAAATTGGGAATTGATAGCCAGGGATGAGCTGTAACAAGGTAGTGACTCTCTTAAATAAATGAATGATCTTCTCAAGTGCCGAACGAAAGAAAACAAAAGGAGAATACGTTTCACAATCTGATTTTGAATAGAACTGGGCATGGATAGATATTATCGAGGGGCACTTTGTACTGTATTAGATAAAGTCGTTAATTTTTGCTTGCTCTAGAGCAAATGATAATTACTTCGGAATATTTCATTCAAGTGTAAATAAACGATACATACCGCACTTTTGACATTCTTGGTATAAGAAACTTTTGTTATACAGCTCTGAAGAGTATACATGGAACTTTATATAGGCTTTTTACAACTTTGTATAATATATACAAGTTACAATATGAAATATGATGGATTAATTAGTATGAATAGAATAGTACAAAATATGAATATGATAGAATGCACAATAACTATACATAACCTTATCATTTTCTACTATACTGTACTACTCGAGTATTGATTTCTATGGGAATTTGCTCAACCGAGAATCCCCCCTTCATCCAGAGCCTTTCAATAGAAAATGTAATAAACTATGAAACGCTACCGTTCAATCATTAATTCATTCAATTTTGTTCTATTGTCCTTCTACTACAGTTCTAATTCATCATTCTCTGAGAAAGCAGAGAAGCAGTATCTTCAACCATGGTTCTGGGGGATTCCGGACAGTGGATTCTCTAATACCCATAAAAGAGAAGAAATAAAAGAATTATTAGAAGGGGACTCCTCAAGTTATCATAGGCTTTAGAAGGGCTCATTAAGGCAGAAAAGCTTCTAATTTGTCGCTATTTTTATATCAATCGTGGCCCTAAATAAATGACTTCGCCGCAATTAAATACATGGGCCTCTAGCAGGGGCGACTACTACCTGGGCATGTTGTACGACAATAACATCTCATCTTGCGGCCCATCCATCTCACCCGTGGATCTATTCCATGTCGACTTGATTACCAAAATGCTCTTTCAAATAGAATAGCCAAAAAGTAATGAATAGGGTAAGCCTATTTCGAAATTTCCACTATCCCTGTAATAGAAAGATCACCCCCATATACCTTGTAAACTCAAGGAAAATAAAAAGATCATTCAAGAGAGACTTGTAAGGAAGAGGAAAGTTGTCCGAATAACGGAGATTCTCCTATACTCAAAGTACAATCCCCCTCCGAAGTAGGGTTCTCGTTAGAATTCTATTCGAACGTATATCCTTGAGTTTGAGTGGGCTTCCCTTGTCCCCATTCCACTCCCTAGGGAAAAATGTCACCGCCTCTTGCAGTAAAGTTTCCGTCATCCACATTCCCATCATGAATCTTTGGTGTACCAAATTTGTTCTTGTAAATCTTGTACTATCTTTTCAACAAATAATAATAAATGATATTAATTAACACTTCTTTTTTTTTAAATATAAACTATCAAGAAACTAGGGTCCAAGAAAGAAAAAGAAAACAGGGGAAAAAAAGCAACCAATTTTCTGTCCAATCCGAAAGCTGGCTGTCCTGTCAAATGCCTCCCTCTCCACATTCTGAATAAATCGGCATAGAATATAATTTCCATTTCGATCTCATCAACTCAAGCCGCAGTCGCCGACCTACAGTATCAATATCTACTTTCATTGAATGAAGCACACGACCAAACCCGATTAGATTTGACCTTGGCTTTTCTATCCTTCAAACCTTACGAAACCATCAGGAATCCCGCATCTAAAATCTACTCCACGTCGTTTACTCCCCCCCGAAAAGGAACCTGGTCGTATGCAAAAGCGAGAAAACGCATAGCATATCCATCCTTTTCATTAGGGAATGCATATCATAGATTTAGTACACCTCTTACATTTCGGTTCAAACAACAACAACACGCTTCTTCCTTACCCAAGCTATCTTCGTGGTCAGCATCGAATTCGAGAAGAGCTCCCATTAAAGCTCTAATGTTCCTACTTTGATCCTAACTCCTATACTACCTACCTCGGTCTTCTCGAACAAGTTTGCATACATATACACAGATCTACTACACCCTTGGTTTTCTTTTCTTTTTTTCATAACCAGAAAAATCTTTGCATACTTCGCATCTTCCGTACTTGATATTCCATCCATCCATCCATCCATCGATAAAACATTAATTAGTGATTACTGCCACTCCACTTCCGACAAGCTCCTTACTATATCTTACCATTTATATACCCTTCCGCATTAAGAATTTACCTCCTTCACAGCCTTTAAAGGTTAAGTCAGCCCTTTTCTCCCCACTACATCTCAACCTACGGTTTTAAGATTTTAGCAGCACCTAAAACTGCGCAGCACTGCACCAAAATATCAACCACATATTTTCGAACCTTTCCACTTTCTTTGCCTGGACTCGGAGTCAACGAAGCATCATTGCCTCATTCCAGATCCTCTAAAGACAACAGCCACACTCAACCACCCATATCGAGAACGTGTCTAGCCTGCATCCGAATCCTGCCGTTCGAAGCCTCCATATTCATCCCACACAACACGTCAAATAGTCCTTCAATATATACGATACACGATCGGATGAAATAGAAAACCGGAAAATAGTATACCTGGGCTCAAAACTTTACCGAAGACCTGATAAACGGGCTTGATATTCACATTCTGTCGGTGGGAGTAAGCAAACGAGTTTAAAATACTTTTGAACTGGCCCAGCCTTTTCGAGGCGTTTGAAGCAGTTTCCTTGAATCGTTGAAATTGGTGTGACCACATTCAGCAGATCAGCCATCAGCCGCCTTTGCACCCTACACGAGATCAGGAAGGACACTCGCAACAAGCCCTTTACCCTTTTAGCTAACTACTGCGTTTCTTCTTTGCCCAGTACAAGCTACTTGACTTACTCATAAACCCTAAAGCCTCTAGACCCCACCATTTGTATGTATTTCACGCTTTACCTCTTTTATTTATTCTTATTTTCATCACACCTCCTCATCCTTGCACCTGGGAAGTCATATGTGCCATTCTATATACGGGACTAGGGTGATCGAATCATAACCTCCACCTCGACCACCACTAGGCTATCGTTGTACCCTGGGTATACCCTCCTTCATCATTCACAAGAACATGCGCACATGCTACTTACTACCTGTCCATACTACACCACCTTTCTCGATAACAGCTTGTCACCGGCACATTCATTATGATGAGATACGAATACTGACATTTACCTCGCAACGAACAGATTTATTAAAAAGTTCGACCATCCGGGTGGCTGCATATCTTCTAGCAATCGGCAAAACCTATCGAACATCCAAGAAACTTCAAATTCTTTGTCCTGTACGTGCCTCAACCCATCCCTCACCATGAATGCAACTAAGCTATGAACGCCCCTCGTCAGCCATCTTGAGAACATTTTTTGTTCTCTTCATCATTTGTAAAGTTACTCAGGCTGATTGATTCATGAAGTTTCCTTTAGGAACGTTATCGACCCTTTGAAGTACTTTATTCTTTTAGTTTCACGTTCCCGAGACTTTGTTCAGACGATTTACGCCTTTGCCCTAGTTATTTCTAGAGTGCGGGAACTTAAAATCATTAGTTAAGATATTGGAAAGCAAGTGTTGTGGAAAAGGGATTCAGCTCTGAAACTATTTCTTCGACTAGCCTGTTCTATTCAAGTTTTCTTACTTAAACTCGGCATCTCATCTTTAATCGTTATAAGTCGCTGCGGATCGAACCCTAATTGTTCCCAAACGGAAGGGAAAAGGGAACTATCTCTACCTAATAGTTCTAGGGTACCAAGATTTATCTCAGACTACTATTATCCACCCAATACTTTGTCACCTGAAGTTTATCTTTGAAAAGGCTCCACTTTCGAAATCAATTACCTTCATCGACAGCCTTCTGACCAACAATACCTCCTTCTTGCGGATCGTCATATAGATACGCAGCTCAACTACGCACGAAGTCTTGATCCCCTTCACAATCTCAAAACTCCAAGTTACTCACGACTTATATGGACCGTATTTTCTGCGATATTCTCGATATTTAATAGTAAAACTCCTCAATTAGTGGAAGTTTTCATCCGGTGTTCTTGTGGAGTCGATAGTATTTCTAGACTTGTTCTCCTCCCACCGCCAAACTGGCCTACTCAACTTACACTTTGTTCGACGTACGTGTATTGCTATAACCTTTACGGTCTTCAAGAAATCTTTCCTGCTAATCCATGCTTTTTTTACAGTCCGAACACCTTTCTTCTGGTAGACCGATAATAATTGACGAAACTTATCCATCACCAGAGACTACAGCCTTACACGAAGGAGGGTACGAGGGAGCCCTTGTACCCCGGGCGGATTCCCCAACAGACATTCTGTCAATGTCTGCCTACGGGAAACCGCAACCACCACAGCTCCATGGTCAGTATGGTAAAGAGGCACCATTTTGTCATGATGCTACCCGAACTGGAGAATCACTAACTCCAAACGCAGGCTATGAAACTGGACGATCATACTCCGATAACTCATTTCCTTACTCAACGCCTTCGTATGGAACTCAGTCTTCAATTCCAACATCAACGCCTGCCCCAGTTTACCAGAATGCCGGACAAATGACTCCGCTAGGTTATGCATCGGGTAACACACGTACTACTTACGATGAACAAGCGGGTCCTTACTTGAATGTTGGGTCTACGCCGATACCCGAAGTTACATCTTTTTCGCCTCAGCGGGGAAGTCAGGGTACTCCAGTGAGCGTCTGCATAACCACTTTGTATGAGCTATTAACCTCAAACTCGCCGACCTTCTATTTGGTGTTTGGACAGCAGAAATGCCAGGCCTCAGTCCGAAAAATCAACCAGTCTGGAGGAGTTTGCAATTACATTGTGGCTTGTGAAGTTCCTCAGTTTGCATCTACAAATTGGTCATCGTCAAGGGTACCGGTATCGATGTTCTTGGAAGGTGACGGAGATGTAATTTCCAAAGTTGAAGTTGGGGATTTTACTTATGAAAATGGCCCGCAATCACTGGACGGATCTAGGAAAATGAAGATGTCACCTGAATCTGCGGAATTGATGAGGAGTCCAGCGAAGCGCAATACTCAACAGATTAAACCGAAGGAGGAATATCCTTATGCCTTTTCATCAAGTGATGGGTCGCCATCCTTCTCCTCACCGTACCTTCAAACAAGTTCTGCCTACAACAATTTGATGCCTCAGTACAGTCGATCTTCCGGTGCTTATGCAGCTCAAGCTGCGCCGAGGAATATGGAATATGGATATGGGAATTCATCGACGGCTTCACCACCGACTTTGAAAGCACATTCTCCGCATGTATCTACTTGGAATTCTGGATATTCGACGATCGGTTCAAGTATGGCGCGAAGTCCTGGGTTACCATCAAATTCGATGCAACGATCGAATCTGTCATCTTTGCCCTCGCCAGGCAATCCAGTCCTGATGAGAACTTCGACGTTACAATCTTCAGGTCCGGGTTCCACACCTCATGCTGGTCATACTTACAATCCTTACCCAATGTATGCAAATAAAGCCAAATTAGAAATCAGTGGAGATCTGAATAAGATGATGATAAACAATTGGACCTCAGAGGAGTGGGAATCAAAGAGGCGGCTTGTCCGATTCAAGCGATCACAATCTGGATGCACCATCACGACAACTTTTCACCCGATCTCAGCCGATGAACGACCGCCTCAAAGTGTTGTAATCAGCTGTATATATTGGGAGGAGAAGAATGATTGTTATGTCACAAGCGTGGATACTATCACTCTATTGGAAGCATTAATTGGAGTAAAGTTTACCGTGGAGGAAAAGAACAGGATACGAAGGAATTTAGAAGGTTTCCGACCCGCGACTGTGTCTAAAGGAAAGCCTGACAGCGAAGAATTCTTCAAAGTTATCATGGCCTTCCCTAATCCTAAGCCTCGTAATATTGAGAAGGATGTCAAGGTCTTTCACTGGAAGGATTTAGGACCCGCTTTGAAGAAGATTATCAGCAAATATGTAAGCACATTTGATGATTTATTGATTTCTTGGTATGAACTAAAATGCTAACAATGTAATTTAGTCCGCCAGTCCTGCCTCAATTCTTCCACCCGCACATGTTCCTGCCCTCCTGACACCCGTCAGCTCCACTGGTTATGCTACGGAACCTTCATCTGCAGGCTTGCCATACACAAATGATCATCATGGAGGAATCTCACCAAGATCAATAACAGGATCAACAACTTCTACAGCTTACAATTCTAATATTCCCGCACAAAGAGCCATCTCACCACAAAGTCAAAAATCAATAAGTTTTCAAGGTGGTCCCCCTGATCTAAGAATCGCAGTACCACATGGTGCACAAGAATCGAGTCATTGGCCACAAGGAACTACACATCACATGCCTACACCACAACAACAGTATCAAGCACAACTGGGAAATGCGGCAGCCGCAGCAGCAAGCGCTAGAGGCTCATGGGACTTGTCGAATTATCTTGAGAATAGCCCCGCGACTGCCGCCGGCAGTTCGGGACCGGGGGTTGATTATCAAGGTCAAGGTCAACAGCAACATCAGACGCCGAGCAACGTTGTGGATGCTTCAATGGCTGGCGGGGGTAATGGAAATCGCGCTTTATCTTCTCTTCAACATCAGCAACAGAGTCAGCAGATACCGCGTACGTGAATCGTGAATCGATTACGCGGTCCTATTGGATGAAGTATTGAGCTAATGAAGCAAGATCATGGGCTCATGGCTTCACATCTGATAGGGAACCTGGGATTCTGTGTGTGTGAGGGGGTTGAGAGGGTGTCCTGTGCTGTTGTGATTTCGTCTTTCTCTGCATTTTTGCGAGCTTTGGAATTCATTGGTCATGGGATGTTCTTTCTATTTTGGCATGGGGCATGAAAGTGGGTTAGTGCGAGATGATGGATGCTCATTCGGCAGAAGTTATCTCGTATTACCCTCACATGCACATTCCTGCATCGACATACCTTGCACGAATCCATGCACTACTTACCCTAATAACCCTTGCTGCACATCAATTTATCTCTAATCGACAAATCGACCTATCAACCTAATCGTTACAGTCGAAACGACTAATACCGACCAAGGTATATCAATTATGCATCTTGGTTGTTTTGTCGTTATACTTGCTTCTCTAAGCGACCTTGCGTCTCACGAAACCTTCATGTTGAACATTCTCTTGTTTATTTGTTGTCTTTGATGATACTTGCTCTCGATGGATTTGAGTATGTTACCGCGGCCTATTACGACTCTATTATCTACTACTACCTACTATTACTTTACTACTTTACTACTTTGTTACCTATTACGACTATACTACACAACCTAAATTTATCAACGGACGGTACATTCATCCTCCACACCCTCTTCAAATCCAATCATCCCACTCTACGCAATAATCTTCCTTCACGAACACAGCCATCACACTATATCAATAATCCATGTTACCGCCACACGCTTATTTTCCTGTTTCTTCCTGTTTACATCCATGGCTATCTATCTTCAGATTCCTTATCTATCTTACTCTTGTATCACCTGATGCACTACGACACTACTATATTCGGATGCGACTATTTCATCAACAACTTATTTTAGACTTTATTGCATATCTCTTGCTCTGAACTGAGGAGTGGCGAAACGGAGGGGTTCTGGTTCTGGTTTTTGTTCTGGCTGGATCAAATAAATGTCCTTGGTGGTGTGGCGTTTAACAGTCCTGTTGCTATTTACTGCATTTTATCGTACTAGCATATACCAATATTCCCTTTGGCCAGTTATCTTGTTTTGTTTTCCAAATTTTCTGGCTTAGGACTTTTTGTTCGTATCAGTGTCACATCTACTATATCCGATGGGTTTCCTAAGATCCCAAGAAAGATCTTGTTTCATCTCATCATATGGCATCATCACTGGCACACGTACCCAATAAACAAGACTCACCTACCTTTGGTAACATTCCTAGTTATGGAACCTACCCTTGCTTGCTTGGCATATCTTGCACGATTTGGAGAAGTACTTGCAGCTTGCATTGCATTGCGCATATTGCTTGCATTTCCAGTGCTAGTAATTCCCGAGGATGGCACATTTGAGCCTGTGTTGTGTGTGTGTGGGTTGGTCAATACACTGCACTATACAATGCATGGAACACAAGAACGCCCATGCGTAACTCTTGTGTTATCTTCAATAACGGGTTATCATTGTTTTGAGAGTCCGATGTTGTTCATGGGCCGGCAAGTGATTGATGGGGGTCCTTTATTCTCTTGGAATGTGGCGGAAGGGGGGTTAGCGTTACATATATGTCACGGTCCTCCTTTGCTGTCGCTCTATCTCAAATACCCACTATACCAATTTTTCTTTTTTCTTTTCTTTTTGCTTAGTGTCTTTTCTTTTCTTTAAAATTTGTCTACTACTACTTAGCCTGCTTTGATTTGCTTTGCTTTGCATTTTGTCGCGTGGCGGGTTTGTTGAGGAGAGATATATCGTTATCGTTACTAGATACCATTTGAGCGAGTCCGTCGGGTCAGTTGAGACATCAATTTGTTTTCCTTCTAATCAATTTCCTTTCTCTGTTAGGCGTTTTTTCTTTGTTTGTTTACAGTCGGCGGGTTGATCATATTCCATTTGTATTGGACTGGACACATGGGCGGTAGGGGCCACGCCGCAGTGTGCATTATAGGTTCGCATAGGAGAGGAGTTGTCAGGTCACCAAAATATATGTGTTTTTGTTCTTTTGTTTGGGTTTGATCTGGTCTGGTTTGGGAGGGGTCGGGTGGATGTACGGGGTACATCTGCAGGGTTTAGGCACAGCAGAGTTTTGATTTTTTTTGGTGGGAATACGGGGTGCATATCTGTATGGTATCGCGAGATATTAATAGCTGGGTTACTGGAAAGGAATTTAGAGATCTCGCTTGCAAGAGAGTTGAATATGGATGAGATGGGAATGACCCGAAGATGGACGAGATGAGATGAGATGAAAGAATAAATTTTACTTTACTATCTATCTACTATATACTACCCAGGCATTTTATTGGCTCGTGGGGGTTCACATTACTTAATTCTTAATAAAAGATCTTTGAATAATATCAATTTTAAGACTATTGTGCTTTCGTGAGGAGAATGAAGTTTGTTTCATGTTGATTGGCTTATTTATGATACGTGAATTATTCCCAACAGCTTGACCGTGACAAGTATCATTTTCTCTCAAATGAAGGCAATGATAATCGCACCGTGACAGCAAATTTGATCAAATCTTTACTTCACTTTACTTTACTTTACTTTACACGCATTGGTTAGGGAGGTAGGGCACTCACTTATCCGTGATTATCCCGTGACAATGATATTTGTATCATCATTCTAACCCAAATCAACTTCTGTGTCTGGAACCTCTTTTGCATCCAGATCTCGCATTCTAATGTCTTATCTCCGGCGCCAGATCTTGCCTTTGCGTTCGTCTTATGTGTATTTAGTTTAGTTTAGTTTAGTTTAGTTGATTTTTAATTTTTGTTATATATTCGTATATTGAGTTGGGCATAACATCCATTACCTTAATGAGTGTGCAAGCGTTTAGGTAGTTGTACAGAGGTGCTTGGAGATTGGTGCTGGCTGGCTGGAGGCAACGCATCGGAGATATCTCTATTCTGAGTGCGAGCGGGTGGGCGAGTGAAAATGTGAAGATCTGTCTGTACTTGCGCATCGGACTTGATGGTGGTGAAAAGACCGATGTGGTTTTTGAAATTTACTTGTTTTATTCTCATACGCGTATACTATAACATGGATACTGTATTGTATGGGTAAGAGTAAGAGTAAGAACGGCGAAGACGGAGTAGACGGGAGAGAATGACATGATTTGGCAGCACAAAGGAAAGGAAACATTGAAAAAAATTCCAGCAGTTTGGGTCAAGGCCTCGGCCGCATTTTAAATCTCCTAGTTTGGTGTTTCGGTTCATTGAAATTTTTCTTGGTGTGATGTTCTAGGGTTAAGGTTATGCAAATGGGTTAGTAGAGTATTTAGTAGAGTATTCAGTAGATCTAGCTCCTACAAAATCCATACGTTTTTCTAGTACAAAAGACTAGTGAAACTCTAGTATTGGTACAATATATATGCATCCATCATGGTACCAGATACCGCATGAACATGAACATAAATCGGAGACTCGGGAATCGGGTCATTTTATAGTCTTGTGTTGCGTGCTGGATAGATGGATGGATGTACGGTGAGTGGATCCTTTCGGGTATGTTGTGGTGCGAGGGTTTGTGTTTGAGTGTCACGGTTAGGGATTGGGGGGCGCTGGGTGCTGGATTGAATACTTTACTGGGCTGGAATTATTATTGGGGTACGGGACGGGGGGTGCGGGTAGTACAAATACTCGGGATATATGAAAAAATTTCTTCATCTTGTTAATTTGGGTTGTCTTGTATGAGCTGGGTAAGGGCCGAGACAGGAGGGGTTTTCATATCGGTGTTGTGTATACTGCGATGGATGGACTCGGGGCTATTGTCTTCTTTGGGAATTTTTATATAGAGTTTATGACGTTTAGAGATTGTGGGAGGTTAGTGAAGAAGAAGAGAGACGGGATCGGGGATAGTATCAGGCGCGATGAATATGCATGGCCCTTGACTTGGGGTCATGGTGGAGATGGTTGCGTTCAAGCTGTCACGGTACTGTTGTGTAGTTATGTATCACTGGATGGAAGTTATTCATGTATATGCATACTGCAATGCATATGCAAATGTAAATGTACGGGTATGGGAATAGTTACGGGCAACGGATCTTTGTGCAGTAGTCTTGTGGCACTTTTGTTATGCTCTACTGGTTGAGTTTGCGGATGTTATGATGATTGGAGTGGTGGATTAGTTTCAGGTTTCTCCATCCCTTAGCTTTCAGCTAATAGTTGGTTTCCTTCTCCTCATTCGATATCCGTCTAGAGTGTCAGTGACCTATGTTCAAGTTCGGAGTGCACCTCAATGTAGAATTGAATTTACTTGCTTGTGTACATGGAGATAGCCCGAATCATGGAGATAGGCTTTCCTTCCTGCCGGCTCTTCAAGGCTTAAGTCGTACATCAAATATTACTAGCTACAATGTCGGGGCACATCGGTATCGACCAAGAAGTCTCGGTCACGGTCTCAGCTTGTTATTCATCAAAAGAACATGAGAACACGGGATAGTCATATCAGTGACGATGAAGGGGATTGATCACCATGTCTGACATCAAGATGTATTTGTTCAATGCTGATACCATTACTTGTACTTTTTGTGCAGGTATTCGGATATCGACGGAAACGTCTCAGCCTGCCAGCGATGATGAAAAGTGATGCACAAACATTCGATTTGAGGGGTAGTTTGCGAGACTCTAACAGCTCTCACGATCCTCAAGGCTTGGTTTCTTGTAGTGGAGATGATGCTTTTCCATCCCTATGGTCAACTTCGTTGGCAAGTGTAAGTCTTGTATCAAAGTGGAAGTGAGGGAGTGGATCCATGCCAGGTTTACAGTAGTTGCATACAACACCCCCACTTTCAGATGACGAGATGATCAACCCGGGTTAATCATTTGTGGAGTTCGATTGTGACTGAGGGGAAATGATCCCAAACCTTCATCAACCAAAAATCCTGGAAAGGGCCAGTGTACAAATTTGATGTGAAAGATTAATTCGGATTCGGATCTGCCAAGAAAGTTGTAAGGACATGATCATCTGCCAATTTCAATGTCTGTGCATCGATATGGGTCGTAAATAGTATTCGAAATTCAGTGCCAGTGAGTGTGTGCGTACGTTGCGGCACCGGGAAGATCGTTGCCAGCTGCACCTTCAAAGTTCAAAATGGCTTAATTGGGCGGGAGCGAGCTTAAAGTGGGATGGGCGAGGTGCCATGCTAAAGTATGTAGGGATGAATGTGACGTTGTTAGTCCAAGTATTAGCGGTATGGTTGACAGTTAGTAGATTAGTGAGATGACATTCGATGCCAACGATGAGTTGTCGAATGATATCGAGTCATGGTGTATTCGTGGTCGTGGTGATTGGAAGAAAGGATACGATGACTGGATGAGAAATGCAATATCGAAGCGGACTCTCTTTTTGTTGACAACAGGGGACATCAGATAGTATTTGTCTAATCGAGATCGCGGAGTGTGTCTGTAAAATGGGAAGAATCCAAATGAGGGATGAGTGTAAGATTTCAAATGGGGCACTTTAGTAGTGTGTTAAAACGCAATAATGTAGAAACAGTAACTGTATTAGGCATTAGTCTTAAAAGTATTTGCAGAGGGTAGCATAAAGAGAAGATTGTGAATGATGAGAATGCTGCTCGTATAGGAAAGGTTTATGCAAAGAATCACCGAGAGTGAGGCTTCGAAAGCATGACGAATTCGTGGATATATCGACTAGTACCAAATTGCTATGAAAGTCAAACCATAACATAGCCTACATACCAAATCAGGCTCATTATATTCTATAGTGATTTCCTGTGTGTTTTCAGTTTTGTCACCTCAAATTACCCATTGATATTCGAGCCAGAGCCTTCTGCCTCTGTTGTTAATAGGCATCTAAATATCCAAGGGATAACCAATGCCGCGCCATTTGCAAGGGAAGTCCCAGGCAACGGCAAAGGCAGTTGAAAAAGGCAGACATTGCATCTTCATGGATCTCTCAGTGAATTTTTATTAGTGCGTACGTCGATACCACGTCATCACCAGGGCTTGAAAGTTGCAGCGTTGTAGAAAGATGCTGGCAACTTCCTCATAATCTCACCGAAGCAGACATCCATGCACTATTGAAAAGAGTTAATTCTTGTGGTGGGCAGGGCGTACGTATACCAGGGCGTTGAATTCGTGCAGCCTAATGGAAGCCTAAAGTAGAAAGGGGTGTGATGCCTAGGCGAGACAACGCCTTTGGAAATACGTTGCGATCAAATTCGCATACAGGTCGCGGCGACACATCAAATTACCCCAATGTTCAGTTAAGTGACTCAAATTATAAATGGCCACAAGTGTGAATCATTCCAGTACCAGAGTGGAAATTATCGTGATCATGAGGGTACCTTGTGAAATTGTTCTGCGAGTCTGTGCCTTAGGAATTGAGATCAGACAGAACTCGATGCCTCAAAGATTGGTCTCAGGCTGCCGTAGTGTATGCCTCGCAAATGTACCTCGAGAATAGCGCCGAATTCATTTATCTCTTAAAGACCTAGCCATAGCTGTGGACTTACCTAAAGAGGACATTTATGAAGCGCGATCTATTTGAATTTCAGAGCTATACCCTATATAGGCATTACCAAAGTCTAGATAGAATGCTACTCAAAAGAGCTTAAATTTGTCAGAATATTCTCTAACACCGGTAGATGCCAAGCCAGATTAGGCTTCTAGTCAAGAAGACCTTCTTGTGAGGCCGTTCTCTGCCTGTCATGACTGATATGCCACAAATAAAATGGAGGGGAGTACGAAACTCTCCTGATTCCAGACCAGCTATTCCAGAAATATCCGCGGAGCGGTAAAGACTTGATTTGGGAACACCAAGGAATGAATCAAAATATCTCGGCTCGCTGCCCCCGTCAGCGCCGTCTTTTTCGCGGCTCTCACTACGCCATTCACGAGCATTGACTTGGAATCAAAATTTACAGTTGATCTCTGTCAGCTAATTTCGGTGTCAGCGTGAACCAGCCTTACGGGTTGGGTTCCTTACCCATTCCAAAATAACATCTCCGTTCTGCCAAAGGAGGAACAGGTCAAATGTGTCGAAAGATCACCAGAGTTTGAAACTGTCTGCGCCACCATAACAATACTCGCACCACCACGTGTTGACGTTGAAGAAATGACTCGGGGCCCAGAAAGACGGTCGTTTTCGGTAGGAATGAAATATACGATAGGATCAGACGTAAATAGATAAGCATAACCAACACGTGTAGTGTGTTGTAGCCGCTGACCGAATTGAGGTATATGCTCAATTTTGATGGGGGCGGAGTGGAAATTCATGCACGAATCCTCATGCGGCGGTGCGGCGTGGCAATTTTGCGGATATGCATGTCAGAAGGTTTGTATTACCTGACGTACTTGAAATAGTTAAGAGCATGTTGTTTGGAGTGAGGGAAATAATCATACAAAAGTTGGTGATGATGGCTAGTCAAAAACATTTTTGTACCCCTTGATCGCTTGTTCAGGGGGCTTGTCCTGAAGCTACAGGGTATCCCTCAGGACTAAGTGCTAGCTTGGACCATATCCATACTAAAAATGCCCTTGAAAAACTGTTTGTCTCGGGGAGCTCATCGTGAACTTTGTATTAATGACCAATGAGTTTCTTAAACTACTCAGCAGACAAAATTTCTTACCAAAACTATCAAGTGGTATACCTGGATAGTGATGACAAAACGCCACTTGCGCGCTTCATTGCAGTCTTTTCGATTCTTCTAAATCACGTATCAAATTATGTTTTGTTATGCTGATATAGGTCCGGCTACCGTCGTCCTGAGAAACTATCAATAAGGACACTGTTAGGCCATATGGTTTTCGTATAATCGGATGAGATAGGCGTCGATGAAATGAGACGCATCACTTTTGGGCATCGCGTTGGCAGGACTGTACCCGACCCGCAATCGTCTTTTCGAGATGCAGGCCGAAATTGGACCGGCGGATGAGATGAGATGAGATGGGTAGTTTTCAATTGATGGTGGCTGTTGTGAATACTAATAGGGAGATGGAGGCGATGATGTTACAGTATCAGTAGTTTTTGTTTGTTTCGGTTTGTAATGTTTGGTTCCCGTTGAGGTCCGTAATCGCCGTTCTTTGATCACCGAAATATTGTACCGGTACTCGAGAATCTCAATAATTGTTAAGGAAGAGGTTGGCGCATCTGAGAGATCATTGAAATGAGAACCATGACTGCCTCGCAAGTTTGCAAGATGAAAACTTTGCCCGAGTCGTTACACGGTGTAAATAGCGCCAAATCACGTGTGCATGAGTTAATTTGGCGTTGAGGGGAAAGTGAGCCGAGACATCTTCGCGTGATGAAAGGGTTGAAGAAAAGGCTTTTTCTACCTTACAACTGATGGGTATCCGTATTAGGATAACTGCTATCCCTTGGCTCGATTCGCTTAGTCATCTGGTTGGTATAAGTGAGGTTATTCCCAAATAAAGTAATATACAAACAGAAATCGAGTTTCTTTTCGATTACTGGTATTTATATCCAGATATAGCTCCAAATTTATTTGACATTATTTCAGTTCCAAAAACCCTATGGCTGCAGAAACAAAATCATATAATTTCAAATCACATAACTAATGTTCTGATAATCATATTACAGACATATCATTGATTCCTTTCCTTCCGCCATTCCAGTCATCTCTGAGTGAAGAAAGATTACCTAGGTACTCCCAATACTTAAAAGCACTTTCCAAAATAACCACACGTTGCCTTAGAGATAGAGCAAAGTACCATCCCGTAAGTTATCACCCCAGATAACCGGGAATTCTATCATGATCTTTACCCATGTCTTGTCGCGCTTGCCATATTAGTTCCTAACAGCGCCATCGTGTGGTGTCCCTGTTCTACAAGCGGCGGACAGATATTATCTACCAAGCTTCTCAACTAGAACACACCAAGAGCGTGGATGTAACTGCCATTTCTTCACTAACTATGCATAGAATGAATTCCTTCCGCATCCCCCCTTCTTCTTCTTCTTCATCACAACAGTTTTATGGATCTTGAATGAGATTTTTCAGGTGATTTGAATGGCCTATTCTCATAGCGTTCGCTTTCATTCATTAGACAGCATAGACAAACACTATCATACAGCGATATGCAATATGTCAGACTACGATCTCTACATGACACTCCACGTTGCTCCCAGCGCATCTCTCGCGGAGATAAAACATGCGTATCGTCAGTTACTACTAGCCCACCACCTCGACAATAATTACGACGATCTAGAGGCCACTAAGAAGTTCCAGGAGGTAAGTACACACACATTCTTGTTGTAATTCTTATCCGGGCGTCCAACACTCCGGACAGTAGTTGAATTTGAGCCTTTTCGGTAATGGAAAGACTGTGGTCCGTTAACTATGATTCGAGTATTGCTAGGCATGTCTTGTTCTCAGTGATTTCAACACTTTGAAATCTTTCGTCGTTGATCTGAATGCATCAAGTGCTGACGTCCTATGTTTATAGATTATCCTTGCATACGAGACACTATCCAATACACTCAGGCGCGCCAAATACGACGAAACATTCTACAGTACAGTAGAGCCCCACATAGAAAACAGGAAGTCCAATAACCGCCGCAATAAGGGGTCCAGAGCACGGGTTACTGTTACGGCTTCGCGTGAGGCAAGATGTGATACGTCTGCAAAGGCAAAATTTCACGCAAAAATCAAAACTCATTGCAAAACACGGAGTGCTGCGACTATCAAGGAAAAGTCGAAATAGAAGCGTAGGGCTGAGTATGGAATGATGCCTCAGAATATGGGTGGAAGTCAGGAGAGTGTTTGTTGTCCCTACTGTGGTTGTCACGGACAGTATGATGATGCTTACTACTGTGATATCTATTGAAGATACTTGTTGCGGTTGAGAGTGGATAGGTTAAGAAGATAAGAAACCCGATTTGTAGCTTTTACATGATCAGAGCGTTTTAACAAATATTTCCTTTATCAAGCACATATTGTTGAGTCACTGGTGGGTATAGAATTATGATATGTCACGCTAAACTTCGAGAGCTACCATTCTGCAACGCCCAGAAAATGTGTAAATTACTTCAGTATGCTAGACAGTGTAACTTCGAGACTTTCAAGAATTTAGCTGCCTTTTAAATTTGCTACGTAGATACGTCTTGGGAAGGAACTTTCGCATGAGGTAGGGATTATGAGTCTTAAGTGACACGCAATCTGGCTCCGACTCTCGATAATTCCAAGTTATAACCTTGAACCAACTTCTAATAAACCTAGCAATAGCCCATATCTACAAACGTAACAGCTATCTGGTGATTAAACAATTCTGTGATATGGAAAAAATACCATTGCTTTTCATTCAACAAGCTCTTCACCAATACCAAAAAAAAGTGTCCGATGCCAACATGTAACTACTCTAATACTCTTGAGACCTCATATTATGCATACAGCTTGAGAAGTACTTATGCTTGAGAAATATACTTTCCACGTGTTCACCTATACCTTTGGTATTGTATTATTGTTCAAAAGTGTTTGTTTGGCAGTCTCAATACAATAAGAAGCAGGCATCGCCACGAACTGTGGACTTTGTCTTCCTTTTTTTCGCTGATATAAACTGTAGCTACTACCTTATGACGGATAATATGACATTAATGGAAGTCATAGTCATAGTCATTGTCATTGTTATTACCGTTGCCCAGATATCATGCGCACTTGCCTTATTCTTGTTGAAGCCCATGGTATCTCTATCCTTCTTCCTTCCCAACTTGGCAAGTTCCAAAATGACAGACAATAAAAACCATTCATAGTGACCTGCATTCGTTCTCTCATAAACAAACAAACATATCATCCATCATAACAATACTTACTTACCCAAAACATCATTCAGATCTTAATTGCTTCATTAATTGCATCATTTCTTACAACATTCATATTCATTACTTTCATCTTTATTCTCACAGAAATAATTGATAACAAGTGCACTTGCTACCATGGCTTCTAACACGAATTACACCCCCTCGACACCCACCAGTGAAGATAACTCAGAACAAGAAGAGGCAGAAGAGCTCAACAGACAGACTCGAGACTCGGGAGTTGCATATACGCCTATTCAGGATTGGGACAGTGGGTTCCAGACTACGCCTGCTTCGAATGCAATCGATGATCCATATCCATGGGCCACACCAAAGAGGAAAAAGAGAACTAGAGCTGCATCCCACGAGCCGGTTCGAAATTCCACCTGGGCAGATTCTCATCGACGAGCAAGGTCGGAGACAGAGTTGACGACGTCGGATAACTTTGTGCCTTCGTCTCGAGATAGCTTAAGTGATGTTGATATTACACGTCTCAATTCGCCATTTGAGGAAGAGAGGGATGCTCTTCTCCGTATGCCATTCTATGATGGGACGATGGGTTTACTGGGGATTTTGGGATGCTATGCTGAGAGCATCTCCACGTCGTCGTCGTCGTCGGAAGGGGATGAAGACTCAACACCTTTGCAAGTTTTGAATCCTCAACCTATTGAGTTGGCCCTTGTTCCAAATACATCGGGTCCCTCAAGAACTCAAGATCACTTGATGTCTAGTGGAATGGGACTCAAAGATATAATTGATCCATCTCACCAGTGTGCCAACGATACATCATGCGTTGATAACTTGATCGGTTCATCGGAGATTCGGGAACAAGCCGAGAGGCTCTATAACCGCATGCCCGATCCTCGAAAATCAAGCACCGAACAAAAACAATTAATCCAGACGCCAAAAAGTCAACTCGAGGAACAGAAGGACACGAGAACAGAGGAAGCAGTCGGACATTCGAGACATTATTCTTTTGAAAGTGGGTACGTTTCTGGCACATCTTACAAGGATTGGAAGACATCTCTAGAACTAGCATCTCCAGGCCCAGACAATTCTCAGACGTTACCGCCTACATCAATCCTGAAATGTGTCGGTGAATCATCATCGATTGGAGCAAAAAGTGATGGTGTGCATATCAGATGGATTGATGGTTATGTAGAGCAGGCCACACCTCCAAATGTCCGAAATCTTTCACAATCAATGGCTCCTCTTCCCTTTCGCCATAAATCGAACTCAGTTGATATATCGGATTACGTCAATTCTTATAACCCATTCCTTACCGTTGGAATGGCCTTGGAAGATACGAGGACGTATGGCGATGCGGCTGTCTCTTCTAATGAATCTGCCGCAACCACTGCACCGCCCCCAAGTGATGTTGGGGAGCCACTTGCACGTGTTGAGGACAACTTTAACAGTTTAGGTTCTCCGGGTATGATTAACAGAGAGAATAGCAGCTCTTACCAAAGTGCACGATCTTCCATTGAAATGACAGTCCTACAACCTCGAGTGGCTGCCCAAGAACATATCGAAAGCTTGGAATCTGCATTCAATGTTTCAAGAGATGATGGTGCATCCCATGCACGATCTGTCACTATAATCGCAGTCCAACAAACTCGAGTGGTTGCCCAAGAACATAACGAAAGCATAGGATCTGCATTCGATGTTCCAAGAGTTGATGGTGCAGAGCCAGCTCCGGCATGTGATCAGAACATTCGTCATGACTCATCCTTTCCTAATACTCCTGTGGGACGTGTTGAGCCTGAGCAGCATATCCCATCAACCGAGAATACTCCCGTGGAACATATCGTGTCCCAGCAAAATATCCCATCCATCGTTATTCACCCCCCCTTGGGGATGGCTAAGGGGCCCGTTCTACCATATGTTATTTATCCCTCCGTGAAGGTTACCCCGCCCGGGGAAGAAGCACCATCTAGCTCTAGCTCTAGCAATCGGGTGACTTCACAAGCTTCAGTAGGAGGTCCGACTAGATCACGTAGTCAAGGGGCAAGACATGTACGCATGAGTAATATAGATGCTTATTTTTCACGGATGCAACTTGATCATAGGTTAAGTGCATTGGCCCGGGCTCAAGAACAGAGAGATGGGACTAGTAGCACTACACCTGCACCTGCGACTGAAAGTCCTGCTACATTTGCAACTGGGAGTGGTGACACTACACGTGCAACTAGGAGTGGTAACGCTCCACGTGGAGCAACTGTTCATCTTGGACTTATGGATACCAGCCAGCTAGGTAGAACTGGCCCCGTTCCAGCTAGGACTAACAACTCTACAATTGGGACTGGCGTCCCTATTGGCTGCCTACCAGTTGGGACTGGCAACTATAGAGGATTTAGGACTAATAACTCTACAGTTGGGAGTGACAACCCTTCAGTTGGGACTAGTAGCTCTACAGCTAGGACTGGCAGATCTATATTTAGGCCTTGGAACTGGCGAAAAGATGGAACTAATAACTCTACAGTTGGAACTGACAACTCTCCAGTTGTGAGTAGCAACCTTCCAACTGGGACTAGCAACTCTCCAATTGCGAGTATCAATCTTCCAATTGGGACTAGCAACTCTCCAATTGGGACTAGCAACCCTCCAGTTGCGAGTAGCAATCTTCCAATCGGGACTAGTAACCTTCCAACCGGGACTAGTAACCTTCCAATTGGGACTAGCAACCCTCCAGCTGCGAGTAGCAACCGTTCAGTGAGGGCTAGCAGCCCTACAGCTAAGACTAATAACTCTACAGTTGGGGCTGGCAACTCTATATTTGGGACTAATAGTTCCATATTTGGGCCTGATGATTCTATAATTGGGGCTGGCAACTCTAGAGGAGTTAGGACTAATGACTCTCCAATTGGGACCAGTGATTCTACAGCTGGGAGTGGCAACCCTTCAGTTGGGACTAGCAACCCTCCAATTGGGACTAACAACCCTCCAATTGCGAGTATCAACCTTCCAACTGGGACTGGCAACCCTCCAGCTGGGACTAGCAACCATAAAAGTAGGCTTGCTCCTGCCGTTGGCAACGTTAGCCCTAGTCCGAGCTTACGGAACCGAATCGCGCCATTCCTAAATCAAGATCTACCCCAAACACTGGCACCGGCAAACGCGGACGATGCCGACAAAGATTCGACGACATCGCAAACCGACAGACCAGCTCCTCAGACGCAGATGTCCTACGAATCTGCTGCCAATGCGAATGATACTGCGTCCCATGATGCTGGGTGCTGTCTCGATCGTGGCTTGCAATGCTGCACATTGCCGAAATGTCGAACATGCAGTTGTATCGTCATGATGACCAAGCGACTTCCTTCTCCACCTCCAGGACTCGACATCTGGGTTGATGGTGTGTCCAACCGGAAGACACTGGAAATGTTAGGATACATGCCGGACGACGACGAGATGACTATGGCGATGGAAAGCTCAAGTAAAGGATCATTTCGACCCCAGGTCTCGACAGATACCGTGGTGAATTGCCTGCTTAAGACATCGCCAAGCAGTGTTCATCTCAGTGTCAATGGTGGAAAGCGATCTAGCCAGGTCGCAGATAACTCCGAAGACTATGCCTTCGTTCGGAGAGTTGCTGGCGCTGGCACTGGTGATAGGTATTGGGTTTTGGATATTGAGGATGTGCACTGCGTCACTTGTTGTAACACAATAAGGAATCAGAGACGGAGGGATTTCGATACGGCTACTAGGCTGAAGAGTAGGGCCAAAGGCGCTTGGAGACATCAACATTGTATGAATTCATACTGCCATGCGGCTTGTGAACATGAACGTCGGGTAAGTTGTTTTGTCACCCTTTTAGACGAGGAAGATCTAACATTGTATATCCAGCCACATCATGTCCTCTCCCGTTTAGGTCTCGAAACCACACACAAGATCAAATACGTCCGATTGACCAGTACCTCTCCATGCATGGACCCCGATATCCTCGCATCGGTCATCACGGTATTGAAGCCATTTTTGGGCCAGCTTGAAGGACTAGAAGTCAATATTGCTTCTTCGAGCCCCTCTGACGGATCAAAGAATTCTCGAAAAACTCTATCAAGACAAGAAGCTCGGCGTTTTGTTTGTTGTTTTGTGGAGTTGGAGAAAATGCTGGTAGGAGGGGCGAGGTTGAAGATTGGTGGGTTGGAGGGTCTTGACGAGTTGGTTAATATGTGGTGGGATGTTAGGAGGAAGTGGTGGATGGGTGTGCAGGGTGTGTAGGGTGTGGAGGGGGTTAAGTGGTAAATGTGTACGAGCATAGATGAATAGCGTAATTGTGATGGTAATGGGAGGAGGAGGGATGGTGATAGTGATAGCGAGAAAGATGGAGCCTGAGATGGAGATTAGGGGTTTTACTAGCGATATGGTATGGGTATGTTATGGTATAGCGGTTTAGTTTAGTGTAGTATTTTTTAGTTTCGCATAGTATAGTATAACTAGACTTTTTCAGCGAATTAAAATACTGGTATTATTCCAGTATTCATTCAAAATATTGAAGATGTTGAGGATTTGAAATCGAAGGCTTCTACTGGAGTAGAATTAATGATCCTGTAGAATAGTGAATCCATCTACAGTAGAGGAAAACATCAAATCTCCTCAAACCACCAACTTGAAATACTGTTCTGTCTAAAGAAAAGAAAAGA